GCCAGCCTCCGCCAGCCCCCGCCTACCCTGCGTGCCTGCCGGCCTCCATCTGCCCTCACCTGCCCTGCGTGTCCCTGCGTGCCCCGCCTGCCCTGCGTGCCCCTGCCAGCCTCCATCTGCCCCCACCTGCCCTGTGTGCCTCTGCCGGCCCTCGCTGGCCCCGCTGGTCCCCACCTGCCCCCGCCTGTCCTGCGTGCACCTGCCGGCCCTCGCCTGCCCCGTGTGTCCCTGCCGGCCTCCATCTGCCCCCCTCTGCCCTGCGTGCCCCTGGGAGGTCTCTGTCCGTCCCCGTAACCCCCGCGCTCTGTCCCCAGGCCTGCAGGCTGCCTTCGACAAGGAGTGGCAGGCCGGGCGCATCACCCGCGACAGCTACCGGAATGGCTCCGAGGACGGCGCGCTGGCCTACAAGCTGCTCATTCAGACGGGCGACAAGAAGGAGCCATTCAACTACAACCAGGTGTGAGCCGGCCCTGTGCCCGGCCCTGCCCGAGAGCCTGGCCTGGCCTTGAACTCGCCTCTGAGCTGGCCAGACCCTCCGGACCCCGCAGCTCACCCCATGCCCGTCTGCTCCCCACAGCTCACCACGCGCCGCCTGGTGGACGAGAACGGCATCATCCCCCCGGAGACCTTCTACATCTGCCTGACCGTGTGGGTGAGCAACGACCCGCTGGGCGTCGCCGCCTCCCACGCCAACTTCTACCCCCCGCCGCCCGAGTGGATCCACGACAAGTACGATGCCACCGGCGAGAACCTGCGAAGTGAGTGCAATCGCGGGCACGCCTGGGCACGCATGGGCAGATGCAGGCTGGGCACATGCCAGCATGCGTCCTGCCAGACACCCCACACACGCCACACAGGGTCCTGCTGGGCACACCCCCATGCGCCAGCTTGCCATGCAGTGTCCAGCCGGGCACCCCCCACATGCCACACAGGGTCCTGCCACCCCCATGCGCCAGCTGGCACCCTAGTTGTACTGAGCTCCCCGTTCCAGTGTTGCCCACCCATCTGGGCTGGCCCGGGCGCCGGCGTGGGAGGAGGAAGGGGGCAGTGTCGGGAGGACAGGGGCCGTGGCGTCCCCCCGCCTGACCCTCGCTGCCCCCTCCCCCCAGTCCCCGCAGCCCAGCCCCTGGAGTTCGCCCAGTTCCCCTTCTACCTGAGTGGCCTGCGCCAGACCGCGGACTTCGTGGAGGCCATCGAGAGCGTGCGGGCCGTGTGCGAGGAGGCGGCCCGGGAGCGGGGCGTGGCCAGCTACCCCAGCGGCTACCCCTTCCTCTTCTGGGAGCAGTACATCGGCCTGCGCCACTGGTTCCTGCTGGCCGTCAGCATCGTGCTGGCCTGCACCTTCCTGGTGTGCGCCGTGCTGCTGCTCAACCCCTGGACCGCCGGCATCATCGTGAGTGCGCCCGGTGTTCATTCCAAATACCCCCCACCTGACCTGGCGTTCCCCCCCGCCCCCCCCCCGCCGCCATCGGCATGTCCCTTCACACACCCATGGTGCCGCTTCCCTGGGCGGCTGGGCAAAGCGTCTGTAATTGGTATCGTTCACAGCAATAGGGCACCCATCACCCTGGCGTCTGGGCTCTTGTCTGGGGCAGAGTGGATGGCTGCCATGGGGCAGAGCAGTGGGACAGAGGGTCATGGGACAGTGCAGTGGGGCAGACAGGAGGGTGCAGAGTGATGCAGCAGGCACAGTGCGGCAGATGCTGTGGGGCAGGGCCATGGGGCGGATGCATTGGGGCAGGGCAGTGGGACGGATGCCGTGGGGCAGGGCTGTGGGCCAGGGCCGTGGGGTGGATGCCGTGGGGCAGGGCCATGGGGGGACAGGGCCATGGGGCGGATGCATTGGGGCAGGGCAGTGGGACGGATGCCGTGGGGCAGGGCTGTGGGCCAGGGCCGTGGGGTGGATGCCGTGGGGCAGGGCCATGGGGCGGATGCCGTGGGGTGGTCCCTGCTCTCTGGCCGACTCTCCCCCGTGCCCGGCAGGTGGCCGTGCTGGCCATGATGACGGTGGAGCTCTTCGGGATGATGGGGTTGATGGGCATCAAGCTGAGCGCCATCCCGGCCGTGATCCTCATCGCCTCGGTGGGCATCGGCGTCGAGTTCACCGTCCACGTGGCCCTGGTGAGTCGGGGGGGGGGTCGCCTGGGCCCCCTGCGGGTCCGACCCCAGTGCAGCCCCACAAAGGTCAGGAGAAGCCCATTTGGGCCAGGGCAGCACCTGTTCTGGCACCGTCTCCCTGCGGCTCCCAGCCTGGGGGTGTCCAGCCCCGCCAGCCCCCCCCCAGCCTAGCTGGGTGAGCCCTGGGGCGCTGGCAGGGCCCGCTCACCAGAGCTCAGCCATGAGACGCACTCGGGGCCCACTAGTGAAAGGGGCACAAACCCCCCAGCTCCCCCCCAGCCCTCTGTGAACCCGGCCCCCAGGCCAGCGTCAGCCACCTCTGGAGCCCAGCCGGCTGGAGACCCTCCCCGGCAGGAAAGGGGGGGGCAGCAGGGGGGAGGGCAGGGGCAGTCTGTCCAGCCGGCCCCGGGGGAGGGGAAGGGTCAGTCCATCGGGGGGAGGGGGTTAGGGTCAGTCCGTCTCTCTGCCCACGCCGGCCCAGAGCTGAGCCGTGTCCTGCCCCCAGGGGTTCCTGACGGCCATGGGCAGCCGGACGCTGCGCTCGGCCCTGGCCCTGGAGCACACGTTGGCACCCGTGCTGGACGGGGCGCTCTCCACGCTGCTGGGCCTTCTCATGCTGGCCGGCTCCGAGTTCGACTTCATCCTGAGGTACCAGCGTGGGGGAGGGGAGAACGCCTCTTTAGCTCAGCCCTGGGGGGCCGGGGGGCATGCGGCTGTGGCCAGGGGTGCAGATGTGCCTAGGGGGGTATGTGTGGGGTGTGTGCGAGCGTGCAGCGGTCCACAGGTGGGGGGGGCATGGGCGAGTGTGCAGGCATGTGGGGGGGGTTGTGTGCAAGCACGCAGGGATGCCCGGGTGTGGGTGTGGGTGTGGGCGTGTGTGAGCGTACAGAGGTATCCAGGGGTGTGTCTGTGCATGTGGGTGAGCGGGCAGGGGTGTGTGGATGGGTGTGAGCGTGCAGGGGTTGCCGGGGGTGTGGGCGCATGCGGGTGTGCCCGGGTGGATGGATGGGTGTGGATGGGTGTGAGCGTGCAGGGGTTCTTGGTGGTGTGGGTGCATGCGGGTGTGCCCGGGGGATGTTTGGGTGTGCGTAAGCGTGCAGGGGTGTGTGAGAACATTTAGGGATTCCCCAGGGGTGTGGATGATGTATGGGTGTGCGTAAGCGTGCAGGGGTGTGTGTGTGTGTGTGTGTGTGTGTGTGTGTGTGTGTGTGTAGAACGTGCGAGGGATTCCCCAAGGGTGTGGATGATGTATGGGTGTGCGTGAGCGTGCAGGGGTGTGTGTGTGTGTGTGTGTGTGTGTGTGTGTGTGTGTGTGTAGAACGTGCAGGGATTCCCCAAGGGTGTGGATGATGTATGGGTGTGC